ATATATATTTGCAATAATAATAATAGTGCAATATAAAAGATAAAAATACACACTGCAATAATAAAACATAATGCAAAATGCAAAATAAACACTGCAATAATAAAACAGTGAAGAATAAAATAGATAAAGCAACAATAAAAAGTACAAAGCAAAAAAAAAAAAACTTTCTGTGCACATTGTAAAAGCTGCAATAATAAAATTGTGCAAAATAAATTATAAAAATAAACACTGCAATAATAAAACAGTGCAAAATAAAATAGAAAATCTCTGATCTTTAACAATATTCTCAAAATGCACAAAATCATTATTTATACATTGTTCATGGAATGCTCCCATAATGTTTGTAAAATTATAAAATGGAAATGTCCCTTAAAGTTTGCATTTTAAAACATGTATACTGTACATTTTGACCGTTCAGAGAACATTCAGAAATAACGTTTTCAAAATGTTTGCACAAAAACGGTATTATACATGTTTTTTTTCTAAAACGTTTCAGTTGGACGTTCATGCAACATTTTTTAAACGTTACTTCATGTTTCCGAGAGCATTCAAAAGGAACGTTCCAATCATGTTTGCAAAGTTATAAAATAGAACGTTCGCATAACCTAATAGGAACGTCAGCACAACGTTCCCAGAACATATTTTTTGTCAGCGGGCTTTATTCCAGATTAACCTTGAGATTTAACCCACGCGACAGGAACAGCGAACAAAAGAGCAGTCGCTCGATTAGCAAATAACAGCTTGTTTGGGACAATCACTTCAGTCTTAATGAGCAGAGGTCAAACTCTACACAACACACGCTCAGCCCTGAAATACACACAGTCTGGACACATTTGGAGACTTTTACTGCAATGACTGACGGGCAACTGCTGATTAACACCGAGAAACTAATTATAAGCTGCAAAAAACAACCCGGTCTCATGAAAGTGCGTATAAATAGTACGCCAAATAAAAACCAAAACTCGTGGTATTGATACGCAAAAATGGACTTTGGTGTGTATATGCTACGCGATGGGTAGGTTTAGGGTTGTGGGGGAGATGCGTATCATATGCACGTCAACAAATTTCGTATCATATGCACGTGAAAACTGCGTATCATATGCACGCCAAACACATGCGTATCATATGCACGCCAAAGTCCATTTTTGCGTATCAATACCACGAGTTTTCGTTTTTATTTGGCGTACTATTTATACGCACTTTCATGAGAACACCAAAAAAGCTTCTTTCAGCCGCATGTTAAAGTCCATCTCTGGCTTCATTTACGACACGCTATCAATAACACATGATCACGACAAAGGGCACATTACTCCTAGGTTTAATGAAAAATCTGCTTCTGTAGGTTATTTTATATCTCAGGCAAACATGATTTATCTTGCACACAGATTCGTGATGATGTCTCACTCTGAACGACAATAGAACTATAAAATGAAAGAAATGATTACTAATCAAATCTTAGTAATGAGTGTGCGGTTATTGATGTAAATAAAATCTCAATTTCAATTACATGAATTCCTGAGATCACCATCATCTATATAATAAAGTCTACTCAAAAGTGGCTTATAATAATAAATGAGCGCATTAACAGGATTTTAACCAGAAAAATTAAATACATAACCACGTTTTTTTTTACTTGCACTCAGTATGAATTATACTCATATTATGCTGAATTTGATCATTAGAACAACATACAAAAAAACAAGTCAAACTTTCGATAAAGCAATTCTTTAACAATCGTCTAAAACGAATACAACCGAATAATATTCTTGAATCAAACCCTTATTAATCCTTTATGTATACAGATCACAAAAATGTATTTTTATCAGAAACTTAAATTATTCATTTTACTTTTAGGTTTATTTTTCATTCTTTTATATCATTTTTTTCCCCCGCACAGGTAAATTCATTTATCTGTATGAAAGTATAGCTTGCAGTTTTAAATTGAATTATATTATGAATTAATTTTAGTCTATAAAATATTTTTCATTATTCTCTCCAGTCATATACACGACAAATAAAACAATAAAAATAAATAAATGTAAAATTATTACAAATAAATCTATCATAAGTTATTTTCGTGATTTGAATGACTTCATGAAATGTAAACCCAAAATGTTTCAAAAGTGGAACAATTTCATTAAAGCTTAAAAATAACATTTATGTTTTTAACAAGGTGTATTATAAGCCTAATAATAACATTATGCCTTAAAATAAATATAAACGATCCCAAGAGACGTCGTGTCTCATAAAAGCAGTTTCACATCGAGCTTAAAGAAATAAAACAGAAAATAAATTAAATTCTTATATAGAAAAAAATATTTATTTAGTAGTTTTTCATCCATATGCTCTCAAAAAGTATCCTTATGGACTATTTATAATGTGTTTTTTTGTCGATTTTAAAGTTTAAGCAACAATACGATTCATATTAAACATATTAAACGAGCAAAATGATTAAATCAACACAAAGCGACACTCTGCAGGAATTGGTTTAACTGTAATGCTGTTATTTTTCCTTTATTATAATTATGAATTGCTCTATCTCTCAGAACATAAGCATCTGAGCATCTGCTTGAGGTTATGATTGTCGCGTGCTTCTCAGATAAACTGGGACTCACTTCATTATAACGTTTTGGGTGAGTGTGAAAAACACAATAAACCCTCATGAATAAACTTAAGACGAACAGAAAGTGCTTTCATAAATGCAAATCGGTGCTGGACAGGTACCAGGCCCTGCTGATAATAATATAATAATAGTAAAGCCAGTTCAGTAATCTATTCAATATAACATCAGTTATTGACGGAATCAATCTTTAGATTTCATTGCACACAGTGAAAGTCATTTAAAGTGACAGCTGCACATTTTCTCATGTAGAATAGCGTTGTATTTAGTCTTTTTTTGGTATATATATTTTTATTTTATTTTTGCAATACATATTTATATGACTGATTCGATCAGAGTGAAATCATCTAAATTCTCGGCTCACATACATTATGTAAAAAAACTGTTTATTATAAACTGTAAACTCCGTAATGTTTCTTAGCATTAATAAATAATAATAATAATAATAATAATAATGATAATAAACTCGGCTTACAAGGCCCAAATGATCAAAAGACAGCACATTTTTCTAAAAGCTGATGTTTATACCCATAAATGCCCAAACTTAATTTAGATTTCACCATGTTCATTATTCTGATAATCAGTTGTTGCAGAAAAGAAACAGAAAATAAATGTTTATAGGAAATAATATTTAGCCTACTTTGTAGTTTTACACCCACGTGGTTTCAAAACGCAACACAACATTGAAAAAATAATACACGTTTTTTTATTTATTTATTTTTTTTACAATTTTTAAGCGGGTTTTGTCGAATTTAAAGTTTCATCAAAAGAAATTCACGCCAGAAACGCGCATAATTAGCAGTGCATAAGTGTTAAATCACCTGCATGTTTTACTTTCGCTTTATTTCAATCCTATTCTCATATCAGATGATGAATCATAAGTAGTGTCGTGCAAATTCTCGTTTAAACTTCGTAAAATGACACATGCAACCACAAATGCACATCATGCTCAAACCATCGATGACAATTTCTTTCTAACATTTCTACCTGGTTTTAAGATCTTAAATATCCCTTTTACCAAAAATACATCACTGTAGAAAAATATTTTCTAAAGTCGCAAATAAAACAAAATAATGGAGTAAGCTTCACAAGATTTTTTTAGTCTTTCTGCTTCAGAATTTCATGTTCAATCTAGTCGCTCTTAATAAAAATAAAGGTGCTTAAAATGTTCTTCACAGCGATGCCACAGAAGAACCATTTTCGGCTTCACAAAGAACCATTCAGTCAAAGAACCGTCTCTTTCTTACCTTTTTATAACCTGAAGAACCTTCTTTCGCAATAAAGAAGCTTTTGTGAAACGGAAATGTTAAAGGTTCTTTATGGAACCATTTAGACAAAAATGGCTTCTTCGATGGCATCACTGTGAAGCACCTTTATTTTTAAGAGCGTCTGTCGTTGAACTCTATTTTACTTATAATTTATCTACGTTTAAGAAAAAAAAAAAAAAATCGGGAAATCACTCTGAATTCTCACCTAAATTGTGGTGTCGGGTTGCACCGGGCGCTCCGCCGCTCTGGAGGCTGTGCAGAACGGAGCTGTCAAAGTGCGACGCCGCCCAAGAGCCTCCGATGTTGGGGCTCACGTAAGCCGGGTATCCGCCGTGATAGGATCCGCTCAGACCGCGGGAACCGTAGTGCTCCCTCCCGCCGGCGGAGATGTTCAGCGGGCTGGAGTAGCTCGCCGTCTCCCGCGCCGCCGCGACCCCGGAGCTTAACGGAGGGCTCGTGGAGAACGTGAACCTGGAGACCGGAGAGTGATGCTGGCCGCCGGTGCAGTTGTAAGAGGCGACCGTGTCCGCGCCCGCCTGCGCCCATCCCGAGTGCGCGGACACCGGGCTGCTCTGCTGCGGCGTCTGGAGGTACGGCAGCGCCGGGATCATCGGGGTGACCCGGGTGGGCGTCACGTACACCGGCGAAGCGGCGGCGTTATGGAGGAAACCGGGCTCGTAAGACGCGGGTCCGTGGTTTGCGGTCATCGCTACACCTCGATACATGTCCACAGGTGAGCGATCGCTCCACTCGCGAGGACCGGAGCATCGGCGTCGGTCTTACCGGGCTGAGCTCACCCTGCGCCCGCCGGGAGCATTTTCTGCTTCGCTTGACTTGACGGTAGCAGAGGATGATCAGGGTGGATGGTCTCACTCCTCCCAATCTCTCCGCCTCCAGTAAAGCGCATCTCATTCCTGCTCGGGTCACCGACCTCGTTTACAGGAACAACAACAACATATTCCCATCATGTCTGCGCCACGCATGCAAATCAGGCCCGGTTCTCAAACGAAATCAGTTGCACCCTCGGTTAAAGCTGTAATAATGACTTTTTTTTTTTTTTCAGATTTGACAAACTATCCAGTGCGTTATGTTTTGCGCTCTGGAGATCTTCATTGATTATAACGTATCAATAGCTGAAATAGCCTTTATTTGCGCAAGTGCATAAGAATTAATTCTGAGTTTCGACTTTCAAAAATAAGGAGTTAATTGAACTAAATAGGGTCATATAAAAACTTTGTTATTTAAAAAAGCATATGTCCTTTAAAGAATGCCACAAAAACTGATCTTATAATAAAACATAAAAAATAAAATAAAATAAATAAATATGAACTAAATAATTTAAAAAATCACACGCACGCACACACACACACACACACACACACACACACACACACAC